TCTGAGAGGCATTCCAGAGTCCGATGCTCGGGGTAAATCTCTTTCGGGTGCCCCAAATATCCTCTGTCTTCCCAAAGCTGAGTTTCCATTCTCTCTGATGATGCTCTATGCTCTCTGACCCTCTTAGCGCCCGTCCATTCAGGGGTAGTCAACCTTGGCTCTTTTATGACCCGTGGACTTCAACTCCCAGAATTCCTGAGCCAGCATGGCTCAGCTTGGAAACCTCTCCCTTTCCCCTCAGCATGGCTGGCTCAGGAATTCTGGGAGTTGAAGTCCACGAGTCATAAAAGAGCCAAGGTTTGAAGACCCCTCAGTTAGAGGAACATATGAAAGCATAATTAATGTTAATTAATGTAGACTTTATTAGTTTAGAGCAGGGGCAGGCAACCTTGGCTCTTTTATGACTGGTGGACTTCAACTCCCAGAATTCCAGAGCCAGCATGGCTCAGCTTGGAAAACTCTCCCTTTCCCCTCAGCATGGCTGGCTCAGGAATTCTGGGAGTTGAAGTCCACGAGTCATAAAAGAGCCAAGGTTGCCTACCCTTGGGTTACACGGAGTGTGTGTGTGGCACCGTCCGCCATTGTTGAATAACTTTTTCATTACAAGCAGGCCTTGACGTACGAGCACAATTGAAGCCCCCAAATTTAGGTAGCTAAGTGAGAAATTTTTAAAGTGAGTTTCCCTCCCATTTTTACGATTTTTCTTGCCATCATCGTGGCAGAATAGAGCTGGAAGAGACCTTGGAGGTCTTCTAGTCCAGCCCCCTGCTCAAGCAGGAGACCCTATACAAGGGGTGTCAAACTGCCGGTCCGCGGGCCGGTTGCATCATACGGAGGCTGCGCCCACCCCAGCTCTGGCAATGCAAAAAAAGTCACAATATGTCGCGTGACATGGCGAGTTTGACACCCGTGCCCTATACTATTCCAGACAGGTGGCTGTCCAGTCTCTTCTTAAAAACCTCCAGTGATGGAGCACCCACAACTTCTGGTGGCAAGCCATTCCACTGGTTAATTGTTCTCACTGTTAGGAAGTTAGGATAGGTTAGGTTAGTCTAGGCCAGGGATAGGCAACCTTGGCTCTTTTATGACTCATGGACTTCAACTCCCAGAATTCCTGAGCCAGCTGTGCTGAGGGGAAAGGGAGATGTTTCCAAGCTGAGCCATGCTGGCTCAGGAATTCTGGGAGTTGAAGTCCATGAGTCATAAAAGAGCCAAGGTTGCCTACCCCTGGCCTAGAGGAACATATGAAAGCATAATTAATGTTAATTAATGTAGACTTTATTAGTTTAGAGCAGGGGTAGGCAACCTTGGCTCTTTTATGACTCGTGGACTTCAACTCCCAGAATTCCTGAGCCAGCCATGCTGAGGGAAAAGGGAGAGGTTTCCAAGCTGAGCCACGCTGGCTCAGGAATTCTGGGAGTTGAAGTCCACCAGTCATGAAGGGGCCATAGTTTCCCCATGCTGGCTCAGGAATTCTGGGAGTTGAAGTCCACCAGTCATAAAAGAGCCAAGGTTGCCTACCCCTGGCCTAGGTTAGGTTAAGTTAAGTAAGTTAAAAGTTAAATTAAGAATAAGCTCAAAGGCACACTTGAAAGGCCCAGACAGGGTCAGCTTCTTTTCATTCACATCCTCACAAAACTGGGAATTCACTTGTGAACATCTCTGGTTACTGAGAAAACGTTTTCCCACTAGAGGGGAGCCGAGATCCATGCTTTGTTTCAGCTCCGCTTCCGGAGATTCGGCTTCTCCTTCTGGTTCAAAAGCCAATCACCTGAGAGTACTAACTCTGATGGGAATGGCTGTAGCTTTGACCGCGTGGAATCATGCCTACTCCTGGGATGCTCCTGGTTGCTGGCCAAATGAGAACGGTTCCCCCTCAGTAGTCTCCACTCAGAGTGGAAAGTATGGGGATCAGAAATAATTGATCAGGGGGAGGGCGGAGGTGTCAGCCTGGAAGGCAGCACCGTCTCCCCTGCCTATCTTTTCATGAAATTTAGCAACAGGGGATCAATAAGAGGAAACTGAAGACTCTGGCAGCTGTTGTCTCTGCCACCAAATGGAATTTGCTCACAGTAGAAGGAGTTGACTTCAGGTTGAGGAGGAATTGCTTAAGTACTCGCTCCTCTGTCTAGTTTAATGAAGAGAAGGACGAGGGGGGACATGATAAGAAGCGTTCGAATATCTCAGGGGTTGACCCAAAGAATAGGGAGTCAAGCTCTTCTCCAAAGCCCCTGAAGGCAGGACAAGAAGCAACGGATGGAAACTAACCAAGGAGAGAAGCAACCTAGAACTAAGGAGAAATTTACGGAGAGTGAGAACAATTAACCGATGGAACAGCCTGCCTCCAGAAGTTGTGAAGGCTCCAATACTGGAGGTTTTTAAGAAGAGATGGGACAACTATTGGTCTGAAATGGTATAGGGTCTCCTGCCTGAGCAGGGGGTTGGACTAGAAGACCTCCAAGGTCCCTTCCAACTCTGTTGTTCTGTTTTTCTAACATTATAGGTGTCTTATTTGGGCATGCCAAGGAATGTGTCGGGTGGGCAGTCTTTCCCCGTGGATCCAGCCGTAGCCGGTTTGCTCTTTTGAAGGGAGAAAAACAAGGGAGAATTAGGCCACCAAGCATTGCATGATCAGTCCGAGAACACAGCAAGTGTAGTTCCCAGGATGTCTAATCCCTGGATACTCCTGTGTGCCCAGCCCAGACGGTCAACACTAGCAATTGGACAGCACTCTGGAAGTTCTGTCAGGACGGAGATAGACGGAATGGAATAGAATAGAATAGAATAGAATAGAATGGAATGGAATGGAATATGAAATAGAATAGAATAGAATAGAATAGAATAGAATAGAATAGAATAGAATAGAATAGAATAGAATAGAATAGAATAGATATTGGAGAATATAAGAATAGAATAGAATAGAATAGAATAGAATAGAATAGAATAGAATAGAATAGAATAGAATAGAATAGAATAGAATAGAATAGAAAATATGGAATGGAATGGAATGGAATGGAATAGAATAGAAAATATGGAATAGAATAAGGAATAGAAGAGAAGAGAAGAGAATGTGGAATGGAATAAGAATAGAACAGAACAGAACAGAATAGAATAGAATAGAATAGGGAATAGAATGAGGAGAAGAGAAGAGAAGAGAAGAGAAGGTGGAATGGAATAAGAATAGAATAGGATAGAATAGAATAGAAAATATGGAATAGAATAAGCAATAGAAGAGAAGAGAAGAGAAGAGAATGTGGAATGGAATAAGAATAGAATAGAATAGAATAGAATAGAATAGAAATTCTTTATTGGCCAAGTGTGATTGGACACACAAGGAATTTGTCTCCGGTGGAAAAGCTATCAGTGTACATACAAGCAATAAGTGATAAATCCTAATCACAGTCATCATAGCAATACATTAATCATAAATCATAAGGTACAACAGTTAGGGATAGTCATAGGATACTAAAATAAGCCCTCAACAGAAATAGTACTAGGATACTAAATAAAAACAATATAAATCGTAAGATACAAGCAACAAAGTTTATAGTCATAAGTAGTTTAGGGGATAGGTGATAGGAGAGTTGACAATAATTAATAATATTAATACAGCCTTATGAGATAGTTTGACAGTGTTGTGGGAATTAGTTGTTTAGCAGAGTGATAGCATGGGGGGGAAACTGTCCTTGTGTCTAGTTGTTTTGTTATGCAATGCTCTATAGCAGGGGTCTTCAAACTTGACCCTTTTATGACTTGTGGACTTCAACTCCCAGAATTCCTCAGCCAGGCGTGCCTGGCTGAGGAATTCTGGGAGTTGAAGTCCACAAGTCATAAAAGGGCTGAGTTTGAAGACCCCTGCTCTATAGTGTCGTTTTGAGGGTAGAAGTGGAAACAGTTTGTGCCCAGAATGTGAGGGCATCTGCAGATATTGTCATAGCCCTCTTTCTGTAAACAGGTCCTCAGGAAGAAGACTTGGAGAACGAGAAGAAGGCCTGGACCACAAAAGCCACACTGTTTGGCACCTGGTCAGAGGGTGGAGTGCAGTGCTTGTCCAGTTGTCTTGATTGTATGATTGTCAACGCTGCTAGCATTGGATGTTTTTGCTTTGACAACATATGGAGATGCAGCCATTTTCCTTCTTATGTTTTACACTTATAATCAGAGTTAGAATTAAATGATACTGGGGGGGGGAGGAGGAGGACTGTGCATGGGAGTTTAGTTAGACATAACAATACTGGACCTAGTGTGGGAACCAAGGTTATTGAAATAAGAGATGATAAGAATTGGCCCGGGCTGGAGAACTGGAAGGGAAGCCTGCATTTCAAACTAATTGGAGAATTTGATTTATGACTGTTAATTGGGGGAGGGAATTGTGCTTTGATACTATGTGCTCAGGGGAGGGGAATTTAGTTTTTGGCTTTGGCTATGTACGTGCCGATGCTATGCTTCTCGAATAAAGATTTTTTAAGGTAAACAATGCCTGGAAGTTCTTTGAAGAGTTTCATCCGTCGGAACCATGACAACGATTCAGAGAATTCTCCAGACCTTGTGGTTTTATTGATTAAATAATGTTTCTCGTGAATAAGATCAACTCCCAAACTCACACCGTCGGACACACCAGCATCTGACAAACCATTGGAAATATATCGATAACTCTTGTTGTTAGTCTTTGTCTGCTTCCAGGTAATTCTTGATCGATTATTAATAACTTCTCCTTTCTTCCAGCAAACTGCGTGGACATCGGCTTGGGCTCTTGTAATGATGTATCTTATTCAAAAACGACGTATCCCAATTTACTGGATCAGAAAACCCGAGAGGCGATCGAATTCAGCTCCGAATACGTCTTGGTGAGTGTCCTCCACAACCTGCTGCAGGGAGAATGCAATCCTGACTTGCGAATCTTGAGTTGCTCCATTATGGCCCCGAAGTGTGATAACGGCACGGTCGTGAAGCCTTGTCGAAGGGTGTGCGAAACCCTGAGAAAAAATTGCCTGCCGGCCTTCGACGCGATTGAAATGGCCTGGCCGTATTTCCTGGACTGCGACCGCTTCTTTGTGGACGAAGCGGAAGGATGCTTCAATCCGCTGGAGAAGCTGCGAGGTAAGAGGCCAAGCCAGGTGGGTCTCCACGCTTGGGAAGACTCGATGCAGTTCCTTCCGGAAGTGATTTTGACCGGACGCCAAGATTTAGTTTGAATCCTTGAATCTAGGGAGTTGACTTTAACTTGAGTTGACTCCCAAGGTGAATTGGTCAACCGACTTGCCAACCTTAACTCTTTAAGAAGGAAATCTGAGAAGTTGGTCAACAATCAGACGTTAAAGGTCTATGGAGATTCCCCGTCATCCAGGTTAGGGTTGTCCCAACTGGACTTTCTTGTTTTTCTTTGAAGACATTTTGCTTCCCATCCCAGAAGCTTGGCTGGATGGTGGGGAATGGAAGGATTTATACTCCTTGCAGACAGCTGGTCATTTGCCTCCTTTTAGAGAGTCGTTGAGGCCACTTGGAGGTTTATCTGTGTCCTCAGTAGTGCTTTTTCAACTGGACTTACTTGCTTTTCTTTGAAGACATTTTGCTTCTCATCCCAGAAGCTTCTTCAGCTCTGACTGGAGGGTGGGGAATGGAAGGATTTATACTCCTTGCAGACAGCTGGTCATTTGCCCTCTTTTAGAGAGTCGTTGAGGCCACTTGGAGGCTTATCTGTGTCCTCAGGGTCACCCGAGTGGTGCAAATGGGTGTGGAGCCTTCTTGGCTGCAGGATATTTTCTGCCCTGGATCCCTTCCCTGTTGGTGACGGGCGCAGGCTGTTTGGGATGAGTCTGTGTTGGGAATGAGGTAAAGGCCTCAATGACTCTCTAAAAGCATGCAAATGACCAGCTGTCTGCAAGGAGGATAAATCCTTCCATTCCCCACCATCCAATCAGAGCTGAAGAAGCTTCTGGGATGAGAAGCGAAACATCTTCAAAGAAAAACAAGAAAGTCCAGTTGCCTCCTGAGAAAGCACCTTTGAGGCAATTAGGGGTTGTTGGCCATTGTACCAATTGACTGCTTATTGATTTAACTGGTGCCAACTCATCTTGAAGTAGCACCAGCCCGTCCGATCGTTGCAAACCAGTTGTGAAATGGAATAACCACGTCTAGTGAGGGACGAAGGATGGAGAGCTCCTTCAGCTTGGTTAGCAAAATCCCAATGGGTCCCAGTGCCTGTCAACGGGCGCAGAATAACACGCTTCCACCTGCCCTCTCCCACAACTTTTTTTTTTAATAACCCAATCAGGACCCACTGAACAGGACCAGAAGCATTTTAGGGAAAGATCAGGAAAGGGTGGGAGGCAGGATGGGCCCAAGGCTCTTCATTTGAGGGATCTGCTGGAAGTTAATACTCTTCCCCCTCCTGTAACACCGACTTTGAGGAATGACGTACCCTCCCTGTGCAGTTGATAGATATTCTATTCTTGACCCCGGGTTGAACAAGCAATGTTGTTGAAGTATCTGAACCCAATAAAATGCACCTGCTTATTGATTTAAAGAAGAATGTCTTGAGTTCCTGGTTTTGTTCTTTTTATGTGGCTGAGAAGATGTGGTTTTAATGTTAGTCGCAATGGGATGGGGTGGCATTTTAAAGGATGAGACGTAAGAAGGGGGAGTCCATTTTTTTTCACCCTCTGCCAGGGATCCATCCGGCTTTCAGAGGGATCCCATTCTTCGGTGGGATCCTGTTCTCCAAACCTGGGTTGGGTCGTGTGCAAGTACTCAAGGAAGATGGTTAGGTGTTTTGGTGTTTTGAGGACAGGTTGACCTCAGGGTGACTCTAAAAGAGAATCTTGGTTAAGGTTGTCCCAACTTTGGCTAGCAGGGGCAACAGGGGCAACAGGCTGTTGTTTGTGAAAGGCTAACTAACCGTGATCTGCCTTGAAATCTAAACCCACCTTGCCTCCCTGAAGGGGAAATAGAATTTGCCGAGGAGGCCCTGAGGGAAGCGCCGGCCTCCATTCGGTTCGCCCACCACTCCTTCCCACAAATGGTGAAAGTTCTGAAGAAGGTGGTCTCCAGATGTCCCCACATCGCCCGGTTGTCCAGCATTGGACGCAGCTTTGAAGGGAAAGACCTCTTCGTGGTTGAGTTCTCCACCAGCCCCGGGAACCACGAACTGCGTGAGCAAGACAAGGATGCTTGAAATGCATTCGCCTGCACCTCTGGTCTCCTCCTCTTCCTCTTCTTCCTCCTCTTCTTTCTCCTCCTCCTCCTCCTCCTCCTCCCCTTCCTCTTTCTCCTCTTCTTTTTCCTGCTCCTGCTCCTCCCCCCTCCTATACCTGCTCCTCCTTCCTTCTCCCCCTCTTCCCCTCCTCCTCTTCCTCCTTCCCCTCTTCTTCCTCCTCCTCTCCCTCCTCTTCCTCTTCCTTCTCTCTTCTTCCCCCCGCCTTCCCCCTCTTCCTTCTCCTCTTCCTCCTTCCCCTCCTCTTCCTCTTCCTTCCCCTCTTCCTCCTCTTCCTCCTTCCCCTCATCTTCCTCCTCCTCTCCCTCTACTTCCTCTTCCTTCTCTCTTCTTCCCCCACCTTCCCCCTCTTCCTTCTCCTCTTCCTCCTTCCCCTCCTCTTCCTCTTCCTCCTTCCCCTCTTCTTCCTCCTCCTCT